TGGTGGTGGGTGCCTATAATCCCATCTACTCAGGAGGCTGAGGCAGGAGAATTGCTTGAACCCAGGAGGCAGAGGTTGCAGTGAGCTGAGATAGGGCCAGGGCACTCAAGCCTGGATGACAGAATGAGATTTTTGTTTCCAAAAAAAAAAAAAATTGTTGTAAATATTTTAAAATTCCAGCTGTAAATTTTAGGAGTCTTTTTTTTTTTAAGTTAGTCTTAAAGTGCCTAATTTTTGTTCCTCTTGTGGACATTCTCTTTTAGCCTTGTCTGCTGTCTTTGAATTTCCTGGATATACTTAATACGTATAGAGTAAACAGATAAGGTTGGCTCTTCCCCCAGTGCCAGTCAGTGAGCGTTCCCTGAGTGCAGTCCCTTCCATGACCCTACATCAGTGCTGAGCACGGCTCTAAAAATCAGCCAAACTGGCCGGGTGCATTGGCTCACGTCTGTAATCCCAGCACGCTGGGAGGCCAAGGCAGGCAGATCACCTGAGGTCAGAAGTTTGAGACCAGCCTGGCCAACATGGTGAAACCCCATCTCTACTAAAAATACAAAAATTAGCCTGACATGGTGGCGGGCACCTGTAATCCCAGCTACTGGGGAGGCTGAGGCAGGAGAATCACTTGAACCCAGGAGGCGGAGATTGTAGTGAGCAGACATCACGCCATTGCACTCCAGTCTGGGTGACAAGAGCAAAACTCCATCCCTCCACACCCCACCCTACCACCTTCCCCTATAAAAAAAAAAAAAACCACAGCCAGACTTGTGAATAACCCAGTGTACTTTTGTGAGTGCATAGGACAGTGGACAGTGGGGCCCAAGGCCTCCATTACCAGGCCCTGTGGAGAATTGGAGGCACATAAATAGTCCCAGTGAGACCCACAGGTGGCTGAATGGGGCGGGTATAAAGAAATTTGCCACAATATCTCGGGAAAGCAAGATTGATCTTATTTCTTTTCCTCATTCTGTCTCTAAAGGGAAAGGCATTGAGGAGAGTGACAGTAGATATGGCTATTTCAATATATATTTATATATCTAGAGAGATGATAGATAACATACATATGTATCCAGCATGTTTTTACATTTCAGAGTTTACATTAGGGTTCACTCCTGGTGTTATGCATCCTATGAGTTTTGACAAAGGCAGAATGACATGTATCCACTATTATAATATCATACAGAATAGTTTTACTGCCCTAAAAATCTTCTGTGCTCTGCCTATTAGTCATCACTTCCTTCCCTCAACCCCTGACAACCATTGATCTTTTCACTTTCACCACAGTTTT